GCGCGTGCGCTAGAGCGTGCGCGCCACGTAATTGATGCAGGGGCGGGGTTTCACGCTTGCGTACGCGTTTGCGTAGGAAGGGGCGAGGCCTTAGGCGTTCTGGAAAAGTCCCAAGAAAGGTGAGTGACCGAGTGTGAGCCGCGTGGCTTTATTTGGGGGCGGAGCCTCGCGCTCCCGCCTACGTGTCGCGCGCGTGAGGGGGCCGGGCCCGTTAATGGTCCACGGAGGTCTCAGAGGGAAATGCGCAGGCGCGAGGGGGTCTGCGCAGCTGTCAGAGTGGGCGCACCTAGGGTCCTGTGTCCGAAGGCGGAGGTGACGGTGTGTTGTGTGTCTCTGTGGGATCGGGGATTGTGCATGGCGTTTTGTGGCCACGTGGGGTTTGTGTCTGTGGCTGTTGAGCGCCCCAGTCTGCGTGCGCAGTCGCAGGCCTGTGGCTGTGTTGAACTGCGTGCCCGGAACTGTTGGGATTGTAACGCTGTGGTAATGTCGCGTGCATGCCTGTCGCTGTGTGTGACGGGCAGAGTTGCGGCGGTGTGTTTGTGATACGTGATGGCGTCGCAGTGAGTGGCCTCTGTGTGTGTGTGTGATGGGGTCTGGGTGTGTGGTCCCTGGGACTCTGCGGTATTTATACGAGAAATGAATGACGGACTCTAGGCTGGCTGCGGATAGGGAACGCGCCTGAGGCTGAGGTTAGCGGTGTCGCTGTCGGGGTGCGTTTGTGCTTATTTCTCACAGCGCGGGTTACTGGTTAAACTGTGTGATTTGCAGTGGTGCGTGTGTGGCAGTGTGTGGCTGTGTGCTTGTACTGTCCCGCTGTCGTGGGACATGTCTCCTTGTAACTGTGACGGAGCAGCTCTGGTGGCGTGGTGCCTAAGGCACTTGATTACTAACCAGAAGGCTGGCGGTTCAAACCCACCAGCCACTCCTCTGAAGTAAGACTAGGCAATCTACTTTCGTAGTGATACCGCCCCGGAAACCCAAGGGAGGGGTCGCTATGAGTCGGGTCCGACTCCACGGCACATAACAACAACAACTGTGATGGGACCTGGGGGGGCGGGATTCTGATTGGTTGCACAGGTGTGAAAGGACCCCTGGTGACGTGATTGGTTGCACAGGTGTGAAAGGACCCCTGGTGACGTAGTGGATAAAGCATTTGGCCGCTTAGCAGTAGGTCAGCGGTTCAGACCCACCAACCTACCCTCTGCCAGTGCACTTCCGTAAAGATTTACAGCCTCAGAAACGCAGCGAGGGTTGCTGTGAATGGGAATGGAGTCGATGTTGGTGAGATTTTTTAGCACAGGTCTAAGAGGCTGTTTGGTGAACATGAGTGTGTGTGCTTCTGTAGTCATGAAACCGTGTGCACCATTTTGTGTGTGTGGTGTTTTGAGGAAGATTAAACAGGATAACATAGGTGACACACCCAGGACCTAGTGCCCAGTAAACACTGTGAAGATGTGGGTTTTTGTCATGGAGAAGGTGTCTCTGGCCTTGGGCTCAGGTGGGTGGGGTCACAACTGTCTCCAGATTTGGGATTGGACATTGAAAGTGCTCCAAGACAGGGCTTGGACTGTCTCAGAGGTCAGCCCCCCAGTAGCCTGGCTGCCTTGTCTCTTGCAAGAGTTCACATTTGAAAGGAGGGCAGGGCCAGTTCTCCGTGGAGTTCCGTGCTTCATCCTTCTCCCACCCCTCTGTGGTGGGTTCAAACTGCCGACCTTTTGATTCGCAGCCAAATGCCTTAACCGCAGCACCACCAGAGCTCCTTAGAACAGTACTTGGCACAAGTAAAAACCAAATTCAGTGCCATTGACTCCATCCTGACTCGTAGCGACACTATAGGGTGGAGTAGAACTGTCCCACAGGGTTCCAAGCCTGTCATCTTTACAGGTCTTCCTTGTTCGTTGTCTAGCTTTCCCATGCATGAGGTGATTGAAAATCCCATAAATAAGGAATACCAAAGAAGAACTGATGCCTTTGAAGTACGGAGTTGGTGAAGAATATTGAATATACCATGGACTGCCAGAAGGAGGAACAAATCTGTCTTGGAACAAGTATGGCCAGAATGCTCCTTAGAGGCAACGATGGTGAGACTTCGTCTCACGTGCAGCACATGTAATTAGGAGGGAGCGGTGGCTTGAAGGATGTCATGCTTGGTAAAATAGAGGGGGAGCGAAAATGGGGAACGCCCTCAGTGAGATGGACTGACCCAGTGGCTGCAACAGTGGAAACCCTATGGGGCATTTTTACTCTGTCCTGTAGAGTTGCTGTGAGTTAGAATACACTCTTGGCAGTGGGTTTGGGTTCTAAGCTGGTGAAAAGCTTGGAAGGATTTTAAAAAATAGAAGGAAAAAAAGGCCCAGACCCAGTCCCCAGAGATTCAGAGTTAATGGGTCTGGACTGGGATCACTCATAAGTATTTACTTCAAAGCTTCCCAGAGAGTAGTATGCAGCCAAAATTAAGAGCTACCGTTCTGAGAGACGTGGGCTTGTGGGAATGAGAGAAGTTAACTTGGGGGAGGGCGGGGAAGGAGTGGAGATTCTGGGTGGCACAACCAGTTAAGCGCTAAGCTGCCAACTGAAAGGTTGGAGATTGAAGCTCACCTAGAGGTGCCTCAGAAGACAGGCCTAGCAGTCTCCTTCCAGAAGGTCAGCCATTGAGATACCCATGGCACACAGTCCTGCTCTGACCCATGTGGGGTCGCCACAAGTCGGAGAAAACTCGATGGCAGCTGGTTTGGACGACATAAGAAGGGGTTACTCTCTAAACATGCGTATAGATGTCTTCAAGTTTTATTCCTTCTAGGGTAGTAGACAGGTTCTTAAATCCACGTCCACCTTCCATGTTGCCCACTGAAGCAATTTGGCATCAGGAGTGAAAATCTCCTAAGATTCTAAAATTTAGAGTCGTTTTGTCTTTTTTGTCTTACAACCTCTCTACATGCACGCACAGTAAAACCGTGAAAAGGGGGTCCTTGTACAGCAGAAGCTCTGGTGGTATGGTGGATAAGGCATTTGTCTGCTACTCAGAAGGTCAGCAGTTCAAACCTGCTAGCTTCTCTGTGAAAGGTAGATGGGATGACCTACTTCTATAAAGATTTACAGCCTTGGAAACCCACTGGGAGTCACTAGGAGTCAGATTCAACTCGATGGCAGTGAGTTTGGTTTTTGGTTTTGTACAGCTGAAGAGTCCCTGGGTGATGCACACAGTTCACGTATTCAGCTGCTAACTGAAAGGTTGGAGCTTCCATGCAGTAATTCATTGCAGTGGCCACACAGAATTCACGGACAATGCTCACGGTCATGAGGCCTCTTCTTTCCCTCTGCTGCCAGGCCCTGCTCAGGGTCTTCTCAGGCAAATGTCACAAAGCACTTTAGCTCCACCAACCAGTGCCCGGAGGCACCCCACTGCTCCAGTACACCTCAGCCCAAAGGCGCTCACTTTCTCACTCCAGAAAGCCCACTGCACCATCTCACACAGGTCCTGGGCCTGCTGCCTCTGCTGCTGCCTCTTCTCTCCATCTGTCGCCACCTCCAGTGTTCCTCCTCCCGGGGTCTAGGAGCTTCCTAGCACAGGGACCTCGGGTCCGAATGCTCCTGGCTCTTCTTTCTTGGTGGTAGTTCCCCTTCTCTGCTCCCTTCTCTCCTTTTATCTCTTTTTTAAGATTGAAGGTGTGTCCCAAGCAAGGGTGTGACTTGAATAAGAGTGGTGAGTAGGGTGTCACCCTGTGGTAAGGTGGTAACTCAAGATACATCTTACCCTAATCCTGCCTCATTAATATAGTGGACAGTTCACTCCAAAATGCGACCATCACCACAGCCCTAGAGGCTAGGATTTACACACACCCACAGTGGAGGATAGCCTCTCAGTACTGGGCATCATGGTCCAGCCAAGATGGCACTTAACGCTGACCATCACAGGTGCCGTGTGCCTTATCTGCGTGGCCCCACCCATCCTGGTGGGGGAGCCCCAAAGACTGTGGCTGGAAGGGTCACATGAAGTGACTCACTGCACCGCTCCCCGGCTGGCGCAACATTTAACTGCTTGGCTGCTAATGTTCGAGACCACCCAGGGGCAGCTGGTTACCACCAAGGTGGGGCTGAGAAGTAAGGGATAATCCACATAGAGTGGATTGTAAGAATCTGGGATTTACTAGTCTTGTTAATAATTACTGCTCAGGAAACTTCATGCTATGACGTCTTGCTACTGCTACATCCCACAAAGAGAGAAGGAACAACAGACTGGTCTCCCAGCTGAGTGCCAGTAAACAGTACGAGGCCATCTTATGAGTCTCTTTTTGAATCAAGGCATTCTGTTGGCTAACTCTGAACTTAAGCATGGCCTTGGTTTTATTTATTTCCCCCAACTTCCCCAAAGGGAGAAAAAAGTATATATTTTTTAAGCTGTGAAGGGAAACTTGCGTGTTTAATCTCTGGCAGTTAAGTGATGATGTAATCATCCCTCTTGATGTGATCTGATGTCATCAGCCAACTAGTTGCCAGAGGATTAGGGGGGGATCCGAGCCCGATCTGACGTGAAAGGAGCTTCCCTGGGGTTTGGCCTGCATCACGTTATATTACAAGAGAGAGAAGCTACTCCACAAGGTGCTTTGACCTCCCTGCATGTGTGTATCCAGGAGTGTGTGTGTGTGTCCAGGTGAGGTGAGGGGATGTGCCTAGCTATGTGAGGGTGTGTGTGTGTGTGTGTATCTGGGTATATGAAGCAGTGTGTATGTACATCCGAGTGTATGAGGGTGGATGGGTGGGTGGGTGAGGATGGGTGTGTTTGTGAGGGGTGTGTGTGTCAGGGTGTGTGTGTGTCGGGGTGTGCACGTGTCAGTGTGTGCATGTCCGGGTGTGTCGGGGAGGTGTCCCACACGAGGGGCCTGGGGACTCAAGAGCGCCCAGAAGGCCAGGCCCGGTCCATATTGTGACTTCTGTCTCCCTAGCCCCACCTTGCCTGCTCTCCACCCCTCCAGATGTGCAGCATCACGGACAAGGCGAGGATGCCTGCTGCCCGGAGAAAAGCCAAGTCCAAGGTGAGTGCCCTCCCCTTTTCCTGTGGGATGGTTCCAGCTCGTCTTGTAAGACTCGCACCATTCGCTTTCTTTCTGGGGCCCTCTGCCCAGCAGAGACCACACAATGCTGCTCCCCAGTCCCTCTGGTGCCGTGGACCCCCCAGTCCCCCCGTCGTCATGGAGAGGGACCCTGAGAACAGCCTCAGCAGCCTCGCTCCTCCGCTGTCTGTGTGCGTGTCTGCTCACCTGTCCGCTCAGCATCCCAGGGCCCTGCTGGCGCAGGAGACTCCCCTCCAGGGAAGGCGAGCACAGTGTGGCATCTTGGGTGGAGGCACTTCCCAGCTGGGCCTCCTACAGCGGGCATCAGTGCCAGTCCTTCAGTGCCTCTCATCCCACCTGTCCGTTCAAAAAGAGGATGTCACTTTAGCTGAACATGCACCTCAACACACACACACACTCCCACTGGGACACACAGACACACACCTAAACACACACCCACACCTAGACACCCTCACGCGTGAGGACAGACACTCCTCTACCCAGACACATACACATACACACACACACCTGGACACATGCAGTCACCTCACCTGGGCACACCAACACCCACATAGCTGAACGCAGGCACACACCTGGCCTTGCCATGGGCCCACCTGGACAACCCCCGGAGCCTCTGTCCTGTCGCTCTCAGTGGTCATCAAGGTGGCCTGCACTCCCGGCCACCCTGCTCGATGAGATCCGACCGTGCTTTGCAGGGTTTGCAGGGGCTGAATTTTGGGAGTTGATTGCCACGACTTTCTTCCTAATCGGTCCAAGTCTGGAAGCGCCACAGACACCTGTTCAGCATCACAGTAACACAAAGGCCTCTCTCTACTCACGGGTGGGTGGTCGTTGCATTGCGTTGGCCGGGGATTGAACCTGGGTCTCCCACGTGGAAGGCGAGAATCCTGCCACTGACCCACCACTGCCTTCTGTCCTGTCCTACATAAGGGCACTGATAAGTACACAGAGTGCATCTGCAGAGAGCCTCTTGTCCCGTGTAACACATTCACAGCCCTGACACTGCAGAATGGACTCTTCTTGGGGACCACATTCTGCCTACCACATTGTGGGACCATGCGTCCTTTGAAACATAAGAGGTCTCTGCCTATGGAAACGAACAGGTTTTAGTCAGAAACTCAAACTTATGATAAAATACAACATGTATATATTTTAGTGTATTTAACGTAGCTATAAACCATTTGCTATGTGCCACACAGTATTCCACACACTTGGCACATGTTGTTAGTTGCCATCAAGTCAGTTCTGACTCCCAGTGCCCCTCGATGACAGAGTAGAACTGCCCCACAGGGTTTCCAAGGCTGTCAGTCTTTACAGAAGCAGACTGCTTTATCTTTCTCCACAGTGACTAGTGGATTTAAACCAACCTTTTGGTTACCAGCCAAGCATTTTAATCACTGCACCACCAAATCCACTGCCATTGAATTGATTCCAACCATAGTGACACCCATTGGGTTTCCAGGGCTGTAAATCCTTACAGAGGCAGGCTACCTCATCTTTCTTCCACAGAGCAGCTGGTGCATTTGAACCACCAGCCTTTTGGTTAGCAGCCAAATGCCTTAACCACTGCACCA